TTCCACTCTTCCATCTCCTCATAGCTGTCCTCACTTCCTCACTACTAATCCTCTGCACTTCTTGATTCACTAACTGTCCTCTATTCATCCATCCTACTTTCTCATGTTCTCCATCTATCAGCTCCTCAAAGTGCTACATATATCTGCACGCATATGTTTCGTTTTCATCATGGCACAAATCTGAACACATGCGCTAATGTTAACATGCATGCACAAGAATATGACAGCCCAGTCTGCGTTCAACTTTGTGAGTTGATCAGCTCACTAGAGAATTCCAGTCTTACCAAATCTGTTTTTAATGCCTTGTAGATTAGAATTTTGGGGTACCACTCACTACAAAGCCCTGTAAATCACAAATGCACTGTGGACAGATAGAGATTATGATCTTAGTGACTAAGAAAGAAAGAGAAGTAAATGTTCTAAAAGTGTGTTTACACTTTGCTAGTGTTCACCAGGTGCCAAATGCATCTTTCCACAAGTGCAACAAGTGTTTTGCACATACGTGCCTCCCCATCACTCTCCTCGTCATATGTCTAAATGAGGTTGTGAAAAACACAAAGACAAGTGACCTACTGTCTAAATAAAAGAATCAGTGAATTTGAGCTTTATTACACTGGCCATGCGCACAGCAAAAAAGGAAGTGTGATGACTGATGTCTCTTTTGTTGTTTTTGGCACATTATGTCACAAAGAGAAAGTTATTCTGCTTGTTTTTGTCTTTGAATTTCTTTACCTTGTGCATTAAAAGTGTATATATGTATATATTCTTTCTTCCTCATACCCACTTTAAGTGTTACCATGACCTTTCTAAATGCCTCAGACAGTTGTACATAGACATTAGTTTTGTTGGGAGAGCTTGAGTTGTGTTTTCATCTTCATGGTAAATGAACTGACTCTTATATAGCACTTTTCTACTTGACCTAAGCACTCAGGGCACTTTAAACTTGCGTCAAAATCCTCACTCCTACAGAACCAGCTCCTTAATCACAGTGTTGCCTCATCTTAAAGCATACTCTGCCTCATTGTCCTTTGTTTTTTACACTATTTACAGAAATGAACATTGTGCTGTAGTTACCAAATCTGTAAGCTGGTTCACTGAGGTCATTAACCCATCAGGAAAAAGATTTACTGAGTCTGGCGCTGTTTTTCTGTAGACTTAAACAGTTTACCGGCTAGAAAGAATGCCAGTTTAAAGCACTTCTGTATTGTTTTCTATAATGGAGGTTAGGGGTTCCATTACCCTACTCCTATATCTATATAAATGCAGTGGCTCAGGAGTAGAGCAGGTCAACCACTAATCAAAAGGTTGGCTGGGTTGGGCCAGAGCCCCATGTTACAAAGAAACACTTAAAGATCGGAAAAGGTTCTTGTGTGGATGGACGTGACCGGGTGCGTGAGGGTTGTAGAAATCAGTCCGTTCCCAATACGATTCATAGCATAAGCTAAAGAAAAATCTACACATTTATTGTTTGCGATTGAGTTTAGTTAATATTTTTAAGCATGTGTGATATGCGTGTGATAACGTGTGATAAGATATCAAATACATGTGTCCAAGATGACATGAGGAGTGTTTTTAACTGTAACTCGTGGAAGGCTAGTTTTGTGTGGCCAGCGAGTAAAATTTGGTGTTGGAAATGAGCATAAATGGTCTCGCTTATATATCAATGTGTTTATTGGTGGTTTGCAATAGACAGGCAGAAGCTAGAAAAAAGGAAAGTGACCTGTGATGTAATGCTGGGTTTTTTCATCTGCTTGTGAGGGTGTTTATCAGCTAGGTTAAAGTAAGCTAAGTGGGGTTTTTCTCTTGTTGTTGTTGTTGTTGTTGTTGTTGTTGTTGTTGTTATTATTGTACAGGAATAATAATATGGAGATTGATATGAGTATAATAATTCCACTTTAACTCAGGCACAACTCATATTCCTTCGTTAGTGTCTGTCAGGACGGCTGTCTGAATATGCAGGCAGCAGACTTTAGCCAATGCAGAGGTCAAGGAGATCCCTTTATGTGCAGTCCTAAGAAAAAACGAGTTGTATCTGTTATTCCATGGCAGGGGCTAAACTAATCAAGGGTGACTTGTGATTAATGCTGAAACACTCGAGGATTCCAGGGCACACAAGCGATGATGTGTCATGCTGGTGGAAATTTCAATAAATGGTCATCTTTATCATCAAAGTCACTCAAACGTCACTCAGAGCTAGTGCCCAGATAGATAAGATGTAGAAAAAACATATGGCTAGTGGAACTGTTTACCACTACTGATTCGTTTAGACAATACTACTGTAATAACTTTGTCATAATGATGAATTGAGTAAATCGTTGGACACGTGGGCCTTTGTCTCAAAAGTACTGCGAGAGAGAATGGAAAGATTTTTTTTTACAGTGTTTCTACTTTGAGGGAGTCACAGTACAAACTTGTTATATTATTTGGTTGTTTTTCAAATCAGCTCTCGCCCAGGTACCCCTACTTTAAGCAGCACCCTCCAAACCACAGTTTTACCATTACTAACGTGTTTCAGTGCACCCACACAGTTCACTTCACTGTGATACCACCAGGTGAGTCATCACTGGGGCGGTTAGTTTAATCAGTTTGTTCCTGTAAACTTTGATGTCGTTGTTGTTGTTATGTCAGCCCTACTCCCCGCACACCCCCATTCCCCTCACACACTCACACACACGCAGACACACACAGATGTTTTGCTTTTAACAAGCTCCCGTCCCCTCTGCTTTGCTCTGGTTCTAACCTGACCTATTTAAGGTGAGTTTGTATGTCATATCAGACCCCATGTCTTCTGCAAACCCCTCCAAGGAGGTAATTTGTGTGATTGTTGAGGTTGATGTTTGCTGGCCTGATTCCTACTCCTTAATTCACAGCTCAGCTGTTAACCACTTTTTACAGGAAGTTGAGCCTCAGCGAGTATGAAGAGGATATCGCCTCCTCATACTCGACTGCAGTGTGACTTTTGTACAGCGTCACATGACAACTTTACAGTAGTAATGTAGGCCCCTGAGAAATAAGGGCATTGTGTAGCTTCCCACAACATGGGGCTTTCTCACACTTACTGTGCTGTTGATACATGAGTGGCCTGAGGATCATGCACTGCTGAGATCCTGTGAGATATAGTAGAAGATGAGAACACACATAAGCTCATTAGGCATGTAATAAAAGCTCTGGGCGTTTCCCCCCCCCCCGACTATTTGATAAATAGCGCAGTGATAATGAATGTGTCTGTTTTGCCACCTGTGGTTTTTACTGTCAGTGTAAGATTTGTATAAAGTTGTAACTGTGATGTGTTTAAAATAAAAGTCAGCCTAAAACAACCTATCACTTTGCACCCTTGCTTTGTCATGTAGCAGCAAAGTAACTAACTTATTTAAAAGTATTTCAGTCATAATCTGCCATTTTTAGAGCTCAGCACGTCAACCATTATAATCTCCTGAAACGAGTTGTGTGTTGATTGCTGCGGTCGTTATTGCAGTGTTTAGCCCCCTTCGGGTTTAGCAGTTTGCATGTTTCCATTTTGTATTGAGCAAGATATGAGGAAGTTAAACTTGTCATCTGTTTTTCTCACTAACTACCGCAGTAAGACTGTGAATCTAACAAGATGCAATCTAAATAGGGTTTTTTTTTTTAATATTAAGTGATGTCTTTATCTATTGGTCACTTCTGGGTATTTAAAAGGTGTTAAAACAAATAAAGGGATCACTAATGTTTGCAGAGGCTGGTTCTTGTTGGCACCTAGCATGCATACATACATGAGCAATACCCCATAATGTGCTTTTTGTTTATTTTTTATTTTTAGCAGTCCAGCTCTATCAGTGACCACTAAGTGACCTCCAGTCTGGTATCAAGGCCTCATCTTTGCGTAACTGGCAGTGTTTTTACCAATGTGAAGTTTAGGAGAGCACGTTTCTGCTTAAAATGTCCACGTTTCATTATTTACTTTGATGATTTTTGTAACATAAGCTTTTGTGTTGCATGACTTTGAAACGCTGTAATTTCTAATATTCGCGTATTTTGACATATTGCCTTGAACCTTGACCAAACCCGCAGGCTCGAAGAGACAAATCCACTTTTCGTTAATGGCTCTGAGGTTTGCAGCCGTGTTGGCCAACGGTTAAACTGTTGGTGGGAACAGTCTGGCCTATCGATTGTCATTTGTTTGTGGAGGCCTTGAAGCACCCATTCCACACCACTGGCACATCACCTTAACCACTCTGCGTTGCAGCCCAGCTGTAAAAATAGATAGGAAAGATTGCCCTAGATATGCACACGCACTCACATAGAGACACATATAAGAAATAAGATACACACACACCTTCAGGTGTAGATGTGTGGCGTTTGTGGGGGGGACCTCACTTAGGAAAGAGCAATGGAGACAAAGAGATATGAAACCACAAAAAGTGCATTTAACTGACATTGAGTGAGCATCAATTCAGCAAACTGCCTTTTGTTCGGGGTTGCCACTGTTTATAAATTCACCCTTTTTGACCTTCAATTGATGCTTGATCTGCAGTGGGTGCTCACCTCCACCAGGTGGCATTAGATTCATGAGGAAGTTCAAAACACTTGTTAGAAAGCCCCTAAATAAGAGGAGGAGACAGGAGAAGACTGGTGTATATCAAATCATTAAAACGTTCCTTTACTTACATACATTAGGTTTTCTAAACTATCAAAGAAAAATGGATGAGCTCATACTTGAGCTGGATTGCTTAAGATCCAAATACATACATATGCAAATATCAGCAAAGGCAATAAAGCTTTAAAAAAAAAAAAAGAAAAAGAAAATCTGCTTATAGAGCATTGAGCAAATACTCAAGGCCAGGATTCACCAAAAAATCGTTAATTCAGCCGCTGTTTAAACTCAGCACTCGGAGACTGACACCTGTTTAATTTGTGTGCACATTTAACAGTATTTTGCAGATAGAAAGAAAGACTGTGTGTCGGCTGTGCCTGCCTTATCTGAAAGTTTCACAGCGTTCACATTCCTGTAAACTGATACTCCCACTGCTGACACAATGGCCGTGCTGTCATATCCTCATGAGGACGTTCTGGCTCATTCAAGTTATTTGGCTTAGATTCTTTTAAAATCACTAATTGTGCTTTACTCACATTTGAGATTTAAACAGTGATCTGTTATGCATGTGAGGGTTTGATGCCCCTCCTACGTTACCTTCTTTTTCCTCAGGTACAGTGCTCGGGGAGTACAGTCTGTTACTGGAGTCTTCACATGGGAGAACGAGAAAGGTGGAGTCATGTTGCACAGGGATAAAGGAGGGAGACAGGTAGCGCAGATTTGAGCTATGTAAAGCAGCTGAAGAATGGTTGTGAAAACACTCGTGTTAATGTCTGGTCGTGGTCTGTGGAGTCAGTATTAATGACTAAGCTAAACAGATGTTTGTAATGTTTTTTACACAGGCTCGTGGACTGTGCAGCAGACAATGGAGGTAAATTTGTGACTTAAAGAAAACTGTATGTTTATATGTTATTACTTAAGAATGACAGAGTTACTGTTCACAGCAGTACAAACAGGATTAATGATTAGTCAAAAGAGTTTAATATTCTCCCAGGCTTTCTGTTATTCTTATTTTTTAAAAGGCTAAGACGGTTGTTTCTTAGCAACAGGTAAAATTTAGCATACAAATCTTCTGTTGATGAGTCTGTTTTGTCTTTGTTTTGGTAAAACTTTGCAGATTTAATGCAGCTGGTTGGATCTGAAAATCCTCGCGCCTCTCTCACCAGGACTGCTCGTTAGCTTCCAGATTCAGCAGGAAGATCAGGTACTCGACTCAGTATTTTATCATACATGTGTCAGCCTGCTGTTGCCCTCAGGTTACCTCAGTAACCTTTTGTTTATGTCAGAGGGTAGTTAATCAAGTATGAGTACGTTTTACAGAGAACTGTCTTTTTAAATCAGCAGCAGGGATTTATAAGTAACATAACACAGTGTAAGTACACAACTGATAAACCAAGAACGTACTACCGAAGGGTGTGAACGTCCAGCACATCTCCCATATCCAATCCAGCCCATTGGTATCTTTGTAAACAGTAGAAATTGCAGAGATTTAATTAATAATTCAAATGATTTTACATAAAATAAACCGCTATTCCTACTGTGGCCATTCCAGCACCATTGCGCAAGAATGGAAAAGTAAGCAAAGGCTGAAGTATTCATAGATCTTGACAAGTTGCTTGAATAATGTGGTAAAATAATATGTTTTGCCTTAGGAGATTCACTGGGTTCTATAACATGTAATTTATGTGTAATAAGGGCAGGTAGACTTACTCTTAAAAACTGAGGTGTAGAGTTAAAATTTGCCTTATTTTTCTTGAGACGTCCCACAATGTTTATCATCTGTTTTGTAACAAGGTGGTTCATTAAACATGTTTTCACACAGTGTAGTGGAATGGTGTCAGGTGTTGTGCATATATTATGCTTTTTTCTCACAGATTTCGATTCTATTTGTGGGATTGGCAGTGTTGTGACAAATAACATTTCCAGTGAGTCTTCCGTCCTGTGGATGAACTCCAACTGTTATTGGTTGCTCTTGTTGTGCTTTCCGGCCTGAGATAGTGGCAAATGAACCAGTTCCTGCTGTTAGTTCTGTTAAAGTGACCCTCCAGAGAATAACAAAGATTATAATCATGAAATCCAGCCCAAGATGAGTCTGTCTTCTAGCAGGATGAGAGATGCAAACACCTGAATAACAGGTGATGGCTGAATCTTGCTACATAAACGACCTAGCAAGCTGGTAAGGAACACATGAGCTGGTTAGCGGCCACCAAATGTCCAAAAAAAAGACAAAATTATCTGCTCATAGTTTGTTTCCAGGATTTCAGAGTTCACAAAAGATGAAAAAGACAAGTTGTTTCTTATCTTCTTCAAATTAAGTCAATATTGCTAAAGAATCATGGTCATGAGATGGCAAATTCTACTAAATTTAGTTATTAATGTTTTTTGTTATGTGGTTTTTTCCCCCTGGAAATAACAGTGTTTATTGAAAAAGGGTTCCTGTTTATTAAACTGAGAATTTTTTTTAAGCAATAAAAGTGCTTTAATAGATTTTTAATGATATGCTTTAATATGAGACACTACTGAGGCCCACAAGTGGAAATAGTCGGTGTTCCTTTTAAATAAGCAAGTACTGTTCATAATTTTAAAGTGATATTTTACAATTAAAAGCATATTTTACGTCCAAATCTATATGAGAACCTCACTTTTAGGGTTCAATTTTGAGTTTAAAGCGCTGGACTGTAATTCAAATGTTTTTTACAGGTTAAAAATGAAAGTTTTAGAATATTTCACAATAATCAACAATGATGTAAATGAAAATACAGTACTATAAATGAATACACAACACAAGCGTTTTTAGCACAAATACAGAAAAAAGTACCATAAAATAAACTGCAGTAATAATGCTATAGATGAGTTCACAGTTAAAATACTATAATCAGTGTCAGTGGAAAATACAATAAAAGTGCAGTAAAAACAGAGTAAAAATACTGTAAATGAGATTACAGTAGAAGTACTGTGAAAGATATTAGAGCAATACTCTAAATGGAACGTACAGTAAAGTACTCCTTAATTTGTAGACATGTTACCTGTAACTCTGTGAGTGAGGAGCAGTTAAACGAGTTTAACATCCTCCCATACTTTATGGCTTTCCAATTTTTTAAATGGCCCAGATGGTTGTTACTTAGAAACAGGTAAAATTTAGCATACAAATCTTCTGTTGATGAGTCTGTTTTTTCTTTGTTTTAGTAAAACTTTGCAGATTTAATGCAGCTGGTTGGATCCGAACATCCTCGCGCCTCTTTCACCAGGACTGCTCGTTAGCTTCCAGATTCAGCAGGAAGATCAGGTACTCGTCTCAGTATTTTATCATACATGTGTCAGCCTGCTGTTGCCCTCAGGTTGCCTTAGTAACCTGTTGTTTATGCCACGGTGTAGTTAATCAAGTATGAGTACGCTTTACAGAGAACTGGGTAGTCTTTTTAAATCAGCACATCAGCAGTAACAAAGTGTAAGTACACGACTGATAAACCAAGAATGTACTACCGAAGGGATTGAATGTTCCACAGCACATCTCCCGTATCCATTGGATACGCAATAATATTCAAATGATTAAATGAAATAAATCATAATTCCTGCTGTGGCCATTCCGTACCATTTATCATCTCCTCTCTAACTGGGTGTTTTTTCAAGTGTAAATGTTTCTGTTTTTGTGTTTTTTCCGTTAAAACATGGTGAAAGAAGGTGAAAGAGGGTGAAATCTACTTTTCCAATAGGTTATTTTGATGAGCTCAGCCCTACTCAGATCAAATTGCTGCCTGTGTGGTCACTGAACTGCGATGAGTTTGCATGTCTGCTGATAAAACATATTTCTACTTTGTGTAGCAGCAAACAGGAGTCTGCAAGCGTCCAAGTCTTCATCAACATCATGGTCAATGAAAGTGCTGAATCTGGTACGTCTCTTTTGATCTTTGTACTTTATTTCAGACATCGTATTCATATCTGTGTTCATAAGATCCGTCCAGAAAGGAATGCAGTTGGATGTCAGTTTTGATTTGCAACCTTCACATCCACGTTGATTTTTTTTTTATAGTAGATAAAGTTTCTTTAGCAGATGTTGTTTGAGTATTTCTTTAACTTTCTTAAGACTCTAAGTGGGGGATATGAGGAGAGGACTGACAGAGGTACTATACAGCATCCACCTGCATGAAAACGCACAGTGCAGGAAATTCTTTGCATCTGTAATCACTGTTAAAAATGACTCATAAAAAATCACTTTATGTAAATGTTGTCTAAGATCACAGAGTTTTTCTGACAGGCTTCACATGGGAGGTGAGAGCAAACAGCCGCCACTACCACAAACCAAAACAGAAGAAATCCTTTCTGTGCTTCCGTTGGGGGAGATCCGCTGTGAGTCAGCCATCCCACACGAAAACCTTACACCTGCTGATACATTCAGAGTCAGGCTGATGCGCTGATGTTTGCATGTGTGTCTTCCACCTGCCCCTCTCCATGGCTCTCCGCATCGGTTGCCAGGACAATGTGGTGCGCAGCTACAAGTACACCCCTTTGACGTTCCTGCCCCTGACGCTATTTGAACAGTTCCAGCGAGCAGCCAATGTCTATTATCTCCTCATCTTGGTGTTGCAGGTCAGATGAAGTCTCTGCTGTGGCGTCTCGCTTTGTTTTTACATGCTATGAATCCAAAAATCCTGCTTTGTGTGCTTCTGTCAGCTCAGCTTTAACAAATGCATAATTTAATATGCTGACATTTTTACATTTTACACCTGATATAGCCTGCTGCTAATTTTCTATAATTCACTTTTCTTTTTTCTTTTTTTTACTAGTGAGCGTGATCACAAACCAGCTCGTATTTGGTTAATGTAGCTTGTCAAAATGAACTTAACTCAGCAGACATTTGCAAGCATTTTGCATAGTTTATAATAATGGTGGAGGAACTTTATCTGGATGATGTGGCTGACGCGTGCTTGTGTTTGCATGTGGTTTCAAGTGTGTCCCTGCCATCTCATCAGTACCATGGTACATCACCATCATCCCGCTGATCTCCATTCTCTCACTGAGAGGGCTGAAAGACCTCAGCAACGACATGGTGAGGCTTCCCGTCCCTCTCTGAGCTGCATGTTTCCACTCACACAGATGAAGGAGTTTGAATATAAGTATGTGACCGGGCTCACGCATGCTTTTATGCCCATGCCACTTACTTGTTTCTCTCCTTCACTGTCCTCATTGACTCCTTGTCCTCTCCTCATTGACGGAACCAGTCATCCCAGTAGCATTAATTTATCTCTCCTATCATTAAAGCCTTTCCTTTTAAATGCAGGTGTGATGTTTTGCATGGAGAATTCCCTGGTTAAGTGCATCGCTGAGTTACGGTCGTTAACAGCTCTGGGTGAAATGCTTGCTTGACCCCTCTCTATTGACTAATCATTTAGTGGGGGGTGTAAATCTCCCAGCTGGTGTCACTGTAGAGCCCCGTAATGGCATTTCTCCTTTCTCCTCTTTTCTTCTCAACCTTTCATGGCCACCCTCACTCCCTCTCGCTTGCTCCTTGTCCATCACTCTTACCCTCCACCCTTGTCATGCTTCCCAGCAATTGCTCATTCTCTTTTACTCTCCTTCCATCTGTCTCCGTCCTTCTCTCCCTACATCCGATTCAGGCAAGAAGACGCAGTGACTCTGAGATTAACTCCAGACCCTGTGACATTCTCATTTCCCAAAGGTGAGGACAAAGGCGGGGTTATTCTCTCAGGAGCCAACACATCTCCACTTTGAAACAGACCTCTAATGAACCTCTAATGAAGTGTGAATGAGTGAATCCCTGGATAGTCCCGTTTTCGCATTAGAGCAGGGCAAATGCACTGAGCAGTTTCCCCACTTATTGAAAGATAAGAACTATGACCAGCCTCTTAATGACACATGTTTTTTAACTTCTACTGTTTCTGAGAATATTATGTTGCAAATATTACACATATTACAGAAGAATTGTACTATTTCATGTAATCATCGCTGTCCTGCAAAGAACTAACAAACTAAATGCACAAAAAAACACAACCAGTGTAAAGATGATTCATTGTTTTTGTAACTAAACAGTATGAATCTGTAAATTCCTGCCCTGAACAAAACTTTAATTTGAATGTTGGTTACTAATTATGTTTTTATGCGTTGCTTTTTAAAACATTTTGCTTGAGTTTGTCTAGAAAACCATTCAAAAGGGTTTTTTCTTCTCAATCGTTCAGTTCTCGTCTGTTCTCTGTCTCAGTTTTCAAATGAAGAAGTGGAAAGACGTGTGTGTGGGGGATGTGCTGCGGATCCACAAAGACCAAGTCTTCCCAGTGAGCTTCTTGATTCATAAAACGTAGAAATGTGCAGCAATTTATATTTGTCCTTGTTTCGAGAATATAATAACAATAATATTGTTAGAAAATACAGTACACGGTAAAAAAAAAACCCCAGTATATTCTTAGGATAGCTGGATCCAACTGGATTTAGTGCGTGCTTTGTGTCAGTTTGTGTTTCCACACCTTCGCCCTCATCACCCTCTCTGCTTTGTTTTAATGTTTTCTGTTTTCCCACCCAGGCCGATCTTCTTCTTTTATGTAGCTCAGAGCCTCACAGTCTGTGTTACGTGGAGACGGCTGATATAGATGGGTAAAGAGACACAATCAGTCCGGTCCCTGAATAATTCTCTTAAAATGTATTGGCACCGAACACACTGATGTAAATGCAGAAACGTTTATGATGCTTAAAGTAGACAGTAACAGTAATGATACATTTTCTAAGTCTTTGAACAGGACAATAAAAATGCTTCAAATATGGACGTCAAAAAATGTTTGTGAAGGAGAAAATTTGAAAACATGACATAAATGTAACATCTTTATTAATAGAGGAGGCAGAGGTGTGACTGTATGTGTCAGTGCATACAAATCGTCTTTTATTGAACTCATAAACTACAGAATTAAGACCGTACGACTCATCCATATAACCAAAACATTAATTTGTGTTTTCAGTATTTTCAGTGTATTGATGCTCTTTTGTTTGACTTTGTAATGAACACTTCTGTTTTTTTCTTCATTTAGAGAAACCAACCTCAAGTACCGACAGGCGCTCAGCACTACACACGAAGATCTGACCTCTAATCCCTCAGAGGAGGCCCTCAGTTCCTTTGATGGTGAATAAACCTATTTTTATTAAAAATACAGATGTGCATTTATAAAAACCAAATAGTAAGAGTGAGATCTAATGTGATTTTTTTTCCCCCAGGTGTTGTACGCTGTGAGGAACCCAACAACCGCTTGTACACCTTCAGAGGTCAGCTGCAGTGGCGGGGAGAGGGTCTCCTCTTGGACAGCGAGCACATCCTGCTGAGGGGAACAGTCCTACGCAACACAGGCTTTGCGTATGGCTTGGCTATCTACACCGGTACTCTTTAGATGGAAAAGAGGAGTGGAACTATTTCATCTGTGTTCAGAAAACTGTTACTTTAGTGCACAGCGATATCACTTTTACACAATGTTCCCAGATCTGCTATGTTCACCTTGCACTTTTGCCTCCACTCACTTCAATGACAAATGTTATTATGAGGAATACAATCTGCTGCTAATAATGGTCCTGATTACCTCACTCTTATAGCTGTGGGCGTCTGGCAGATTATAGGCTCTTCCTGTCTTTTGAGTCATCATTGATTTGACATTATTGGACGAGGCAGAAGTGTCACGGATTCCATAGCTTTGACCCTTCCCGTTCTGGTTAAGCAGATCAGTACATCAAATTTATCCAGAGATGAGTTTCATACTATTAATCTGAAGCTGCCCACTGGTGTAACCCCAGTTAAGCCTGACAATAACTCTAAGCAAACTCGCACTCGACATAACCTGCTTCCATCAAAGCTTGCATGTTGTTGCTGTTGTAGGGCTGAGTTCAAATCAGTTTTCTGCCCTAGAATGGTTTTGTCATTTCTGCACACAAAGTTCAGCGACTTTCCACAGTCTGCGAGATTGAGACAGCATCGTCGGAAAACATAATGTGATACTTTATTGATCCCTGCAAAGAAAAACTCTCTCTTCCCCTGACCTCCCTGCACCGGGGTCAGAAACCCCCGGATCTGCTAGGAATTCAGCGTCTCGCTCAAGGGCACATCAGCAGAAGCTTGTTGACATGCGGGCTTGAACTCTCACCCTCTGGCTGCTTGACCGTCTACTCAATCAGCCCGGTCAGCAATAGCATCTAATAGTGGTGTTTTTAACGGCAGGCGCAGACACGAAGATCCTGAGGAACAGCGGGAAAGTGAAACTGAAGAGGACTCAGATGGAAAAAGTTTTTAACAAAGTGGTGATGGGGGTGAGTGCATGGAGGGCATGAGAATAACAACCACGAGACATTTTCTGCAGTTTTTATATACTCTGTGTGTCTGTGCTCTGTCTAGATAGTCCTGTGTGTGCTGCTGGCAGCTCTGTTCCTTGCCATTGGCAGCGGCGTGTTTTCTGCTCAGCTCATGAGACAGAATAGCGTTCTGTCTGCTCTGGTGTTTAACAGCAATGCTGTCTACACCGGATTCCTCATCTACTGGAGCTACATCATCCTTCTCAGCCCAGCCATGCCTATAGCCCTCTACATCTCGTTAGTTCCATCTACAATACTGCAATCATTTGTGGGTGGGGAGAAAAGTGGGTATGCACATCTGCGTGCGTGTGTTGGGTTATTATGCATGCATGTGTGTGTGCCTGCAGGTTTGAGCTGGTCCACACGGTCCACAGCCTGTTTATTGGCTGGGATTTGGAGATGTATTGGCAGCAGGCAGACAAACCGGCTCAGGCTAGGAATACCTCACTGAACGAGGAGCTCGGCCAAGTGGGATACCTGCTGAGTGACAAAACTGGAACACTAACCCAGAATCGCCTGCTCGTCAGACAATGCTGCATAGCTGGGGAAATCTATGGTAACAAGAGCTCCTTCTTTTACAGATTACTGACCTGAAAGTGTGTCGTGACTAAACAAAACACTATATTTAATGTGATATTTTAATTTTTCAGCTTAAAGCGGGCCAGACCAATACATGTTCTGGTCATGCCACATGTGGATGTTTGGACAAGCCAAATACTCTGCTTTACAAAAGCAAAACTCATTAACAGAGAATACATCAGATGATTTTGCACAGATGTTTAGAATCTGTGTTTTAAAATGTAATTGCAAAGTGCCCAGTTATGCAGTTTTTATTTGGATGAAGCCACCGTGTCTGGATTGGTTGAGAGATAGAAGTTGTCAGTTAAGATTAGCAATTTTGGTTAATGTCATAAAGTGTGGCAATTGTTATTTTATTTTTTCTGTTTGCACTTCCTCAAGGCTTTGTAAATCCACAAAGGTATTTATGTTGTTATCTTCTGTGTTAAGCACAATGAGTTTAGGTGTAGTGAAATGTGCTATATTAATAAAATTGGCATTTAAACATGGGATCGACTCACTTTTGGAGTCAGCTTAAAGTAGCACAGAAGTAGCACAGAAAGAACTGTGTGTCTTTGTTGCTCAGCCGCTGATACAAAGTCACACACGAAAGCTTTAAATCAGTTTTTCTCATCAGCGTGACACAACTTTAGCAGCAATGACACAGTTTGTTCCCCTAAGAATACTTTGTTAGCAACTAATGGTCCAACAGTACAGCCTGTGCCCAGTAATGTGTGAGGTTACATGCTGAGTTATTATTTGCAGCAATTTCCTTCATTAAAAACTCGTACAAGGTAAAGGTAAGTTCAAATTAGACAGCAAAGATTTACAGTTGAACAAAGACGACTCTGGAGAAAGATGCTTACATCATAAACCTCATCCCTCGAGAAAGGCCAGCGGAGACTCCTAACATGCTCAGTGCAACAGTAACCCCAACATTCACCACCACAGGAGAATATTAATACCAACCTTCACCACAGATGACACTTTCTTTTTTCTTTCTTTAAAACATATATATTAATAAATAAATGTCTTATTTTATACATTTACAGGTGATGCCTCAGTCAGGGCAGAGGATGTAGAGGTAAACGATTACACTTTTTTTTATATGTACTTAACCTTATTCTAAGGTATTCCCTAAAGATCCTTCAGTATATGTTTGAAATGATATCATCTTATATTCTACCTCTTTCCCCGCCTTTGGGCAGCCCATGGATTTAAGCTGGAATCCTTTCTCCTGTGGTGGCCTGTTTATGTCAGCCCCAGCCCTCGTGGACAGACTTAGAGGGAACCAGTGTCCGCTCAGCAGACAGTTCCTTACAGCGCTGGCTTTATGCCATACTGTCATGACAGAGTGGAAGAAACGTAAGGCTTTGCACATGTCGTGAGTCCGTAATGTTTTTTACCTAAGTTGTGAATTTTGTCAACTTAACTAAAGTTAAATAAAGATTAAAGGTTTTTTTCTCTGCTATTATCTAAGAAAACCTGTAAATCACTAATCTGAATGTGCATGGCAGAATAACTGTGGTCCTTTTCTGGAAGACAACATGTTTTCCTCCTTTGTGCACTAACCGCGTTCCCACAGAGACTCCAGTTTACCAGGCTGCGTCCCCAGATGAGGAAGCACTTGTTGGTGCTGCCAGAGAGCTGGGCTGGGTCTTTCTTTCTAGGGCGAGAGATTTTATTGTTGTCTCAGAGCTGGGCATCACTCGCAGGTATCAGCTCCTTGCACTGCTGGACTTCACCAGTCAGAGGAGACGCATGTCTGTATTGGGTAAGAGCAGCTCTTGTTAAACACACGCATATAATAGCTTTTTTCATTTGGCTCACACAGGTTTGATTCTAAGTCAAACAGCCTTTTTTTATTTCTTAGACATCCTTTTGTTTAGTCCATACTAAGAGGGGTTTTTTTGCCTTTAGTGCGGGAGCCAGAAGGTGGAATAAAGTTGTACTGTAAAGGGGCAGATATAGTGATCCTGGAGAGACTGCAGAAGGACTCTCCACATCAGGAAAGGACTGAAAGAGCTCTAGAGGTAAAGCATTTCCCTCTTGCTATTAATCCTGTTTTGAATCACTATGCTAAGCTAAATTAACGTAATGTTTTTTCCGTCCTGTTAACAGTTATCACGTACTCTGCATTTGCTCTCAAATTTCTGTGACTGCGATGTGTGCAAGTCTACACAGACTAAAACTACATTATCTTCCACTACAGTTATCATTTGTCACATCATCAAACCATCTACACACTATACTGAAGGCTCTTAATCAATCATTAGTAGGTTTTCAAGAACGGATCCAACCAGTCGTTACTAGCTAATGAGATAGCTGAGGCATCCCTGATTATCGCTTGTTTTTTTTCTTCCAGTTCTGCCTGAAGGATTACTCAGTAAATAACGTCAGCCTATCAAAAACCAATCTAACTTATCTTCTGTCAGCTGTTTGCCGAGGCCTGTCTGCGGACACTGTGCGTTGCGGTTCGATCTGTTCCTGAAGCATCATGGGAGCAGTGGAACAAAACTCTGGCTCAGTCTGCCACCATGGTCACCTGCGACCGTGACGCGCTGCTGGAAAAATTATATGACGAGATGGAAATGGACCTGCAGGTGGGCTCGTGCTCAGTGTGGTTTTATATATTGTCAGTTCTTCATTTAAAGGGTTCTAATAATGTTAATTCTTAAAGATTTCAGCCCTTTATTTTCCCCAAAATTTATTTTCGCATTTGTGGAGCTGAGCGCAGACTGATTTAAATATTTTTTTTTCTTCGTTAAAACCTGTTTTATAAGGTTAAACTTGACCAAGTTTCTCACATTATTTTTGACTCTGATGTAGTCATACAACTTTAGACTACAATCACAAAGATCTGGTTTCACCATACACCATTTTCAGTGATTGAATCTCATGCAAAGCTTGAGGTCAGTCATGAGTTGTCCTACCACGCTCGGCACATCAAAACAGTTCCACTGTGACGTCCAAAATTTTAATTTTTTACTTTTTACGTTTCATAATATTTAAAATATTCTATATTAAAATGCAAATGTGTTTCTTTTTATCTATATTTGTTTATTATTTTTATTGCCCATTGTTTGGTTTAGTAACAGCAAATAGATTACTGATTTGAAGCATGTTTGTAAGTGATTAAACGTCTAACCAAACTGCACTGGGTTTGCAAGAAACTGTTGATTGACCACAGTCCACTCAGCATTATCACCACAAGCTAAAAACAGAAAATTTGCCTGCATCAGTAAAGGGGGCAAAAGTCGCAGGTCAGACCCGTAAGCTTTTTGTGTATTTTCCCTTATAGCTGAGAGGTTAACTGCATGAGGATTTGAGGCAAAACACTGCAGTGTTCTTGCACTTTATGCATCAGAAACTGTTCAATAAACTGCATTTTTAAACATACCTTTGAGAGATATTTGTAGACAGTTAATTAAGATAACAAACACTGGGGATGTTTGAAAGTCTGGTAGTTTGTGATGGCGTCGTTTATTCTCAGTCTGCTCTCTGCTGCATCACTATTTTGTGGAAACTGCATGAACTGCAGTGCATGCAACAAGCACACAACACATTGATAACATTATTGCCTGCAGCAATACAGTCTTTCTCACTGTGACTTTGGTTGCTTCTCTAAAATGATAATCAATTTGAAGGATGTCTGTTCCAACACATTGCAGGAGTTTTAGGGCACGCACAAATGCACAGGTAGGCACTCTTCCCCGGAAGAAGTCTTTAGTCTAATTTAAAGGGCTGATTTCATATTTTTATGGGCATAGTCATAGAACTTTGTGGTATGAAATATGTATGTAATATTTAAAAATGTGAATATGCTGTATGGATGCTGAAATTAAGTCTTGCTTTAGCTGCTGGGGGTGACGGCAATTGAGGACCGACTTCAGGATGGAGTGCCTGAAACCATTGCTCTACTTCAAGAGGCCGGGATTAAAGTATGGGTACTGACTGGAGACAAAAAAGGTATTGTGATAAGCTGTGACACGACAAGGAGCATGGCATAAATTCTGAACGTGTCATAAAAATAAAGTTTCACAGTGGTTTCTGTGTTATTCTGATTCCATCTGTGACTTCTTTCCTTGTGTTTGTAGAGACTGCAGTGAATATTGGATATTCTTGCAAACTACTGGATCCTGATAGCAGAATAGTAGAATGGGACGAGCTGAGGTTAGCAGTGTTAGAAATACACAGACGCATCCAACCACATGCACATACACACACTCACACCATCCCATTGATCTTTGTTTGTTTGCCCCTGCAGACAGATACTCCAGTCCCCAGATCCACGGGTCAGTTTCTTTAAGCCCAGACAGACAGAGCTGTGGGCTGTAGACAAGGAGATGGCTGTAGCAAAGACTTCCGTGGTCCTCACCGGACCTGAGCTGGTAAACACACCAACCTGTGCTATACATAGACAATGTAAAGTTTTGTAAATCTTATGATTTGCGGACGATTTGGTTTCATGAGAAGTTGTATTCTGCAGAGACATGGAGAGGTGATATTAAAAGGTGTTGAGCAGTAGATTCTTCTGTTTCTTCTTCTTTTAGGACTAATTTCTTGCGCCCAGTGGAATGATCAAACAAGAAATCATTAGTTTTACATTAAACTGTTAGCAGTCGGACGTACCGCCCACGGGACATTGGATGGTTTAGGGGACTAATAGGACTGCTAAGGGGTTAATTGGAGATAAATTATCTGAATTTCAGGAGCGGGACCACAACTCCAAACACACTGCTTCCAGTTCTCATCTATGTTTGTTCCCCCACTTCTACAAACTGTTCGTTCTCGTTTTCGTGCCTCACCCTCTCTCAACTTTTCAATTCTTTAACTCATTCACTTCTATTTAGTACATGAGGATCTGCAAGGCCCGGGAGCTGCCCCCAGTCCCCTTCGAGGGTTTTGTTGTAGGGTTATGTACAGTGAGGTGGTTAAAGTAATTTTTTAAACTCTAGAAAGTCTTCTGTTTGTTACTATCAGGCCTTTATTTCTTTATTTCAGTTCTTGTTTATTATTAAGCCTGGATTTGTTGTTTTTGAGAATTCTGATTGGTTCCTTCATAGTTTCTCGGTTCTTAGTTTTGTTGATCATTTAGCGTTGATCTTCATTTATTCACTAGTACTTGTGTCTTCAGTTTGCGTTAGTTACTGCTTGTATTTAAAGAGTTTCTTAGTTCCTCTGTTTTCTTCCTGCATTATCTCCTCTGTAAAGTTCAAATTTCTGTGTTTCCTTGTTTTTAATCATGTTTTGCTTTACTTTTGACTTCTCTCCTGTTTCATACCTTTAGTTTTACTCCCCCCTCTGTCTCTGTCTAAATTAAGCTCAGTTTTGTCTCATTACCCTCCTGTTCCTGCTTCCTTGATTACCCTCTTGTGTATAAATAGTCCAGTCCTTCCCCTCACTCTTTGTCTGAGCATCTGTTAACGTCCTCTTTGAGTCTATTGCCTTTTGGATTTTGTATCTTGGACTTTGCATCAGCCATAATAAATGACTTTGTTATTTAAGTCTCCATCGCATCTACGCATTTGTGTTGTTTTCCCCAGACAGAGTTTGACCAGAGGCCAGAGTGGGGGGCCACATTCATGAGCCTGGCAGAACATTGTCAGTCTGTGCTGTGCTGCCGCGTAACACCTGCACAGAAGGCCGAAATCGTCACGTTGGTGAGAAAACATACCAGCTCAGTGACCATGAGCATTGGTGATGGTGCCAATGATGTCAATATGATCAAGAGTAAGGGTTTATTTGTAGTTCTACAATATAAAAAAGTAAAAATAAATCAGTGTGCTCTGATCATTTGTGTTCATGTTTTAACATTTGCCTCCTTCCTCTTTCCTCAACACCAGCGGCTCATGTTGGTGTGGGTCTGGCAGGAGTGGAGGGAGGTCAGGCGGTGCAGAATGCAGACTTTGCATTGGCCCAGTTCAGGTTTCTGCAGCGGCTGCTTCTCGTCCATGGCCGCTGGTCCTACTGCCGCATTTCCCTCTTCTTGCGCTATTTCCTGTTTAAGACCTGCAGTTTTGCCCTTGTGCATCTATGGTTTGGTTTCTTCAATGGCTTCAGTGCTCAGGTTAGACAAAAACAGATATTAAATTATGCCAGTTAAAGCCTTATAGTCACGGCATGAAGTGAGGTTCAAAAAATTACGTTTCTCTCACAGTCTCTGTATGAATCATGGTTCATCGCTTTATACACGGTTTTCTACAGTGCATACCCAATTCTTTGCCTGGCCTTTTTTGAACAGGTGAGCTGGAGAGTTTATTTTAAACTAAAAGAAGATAAGTGTGAATGTCTAAACAATAAAAATCGCCTCTTTCTTTTTTAGGATGTCAGCGCAGAAAAAAGCTTAAATTTTCCCGAGTTGTACAAGTGTGGACAGAGACATGAGCTCGTGAGCCCTCTCAAGTTGTCCTTGTCACTCCTGCATGCTGTGTATGCATCGCTCGTTTTCGCCTTCATCCCGCTTGGCGTTTTCGACAACACGGTCTTTGACTACCAGACGATGGCGATCACGGTTTCCATGGCAGTTACGTTCACTGCCACGATTGAGGTCAGGATGTCTTATGGTTTTGTGTGTACATGGGCAATGCCAATAAAGGGCTATTCTATTCTTTTTTTCATAGATGCAGTTGTCAGAAAGTGTAACATTTTTAACTGATTTATATTTATAATAACCACAGTTAAATGTTTTGTAGATAGTTAATTAAGTTTTTTGTGAATGTTATGTTATGAAAACTTGATAATGTTTACAAAATGTTTTATAATTAATTACCTATTCATCTATAGCCACTGTTGGAATACATATTTAATAATTTGAAAGCGATCATTAAAAGTGAAGGCCTTCCCGCTGAAGGCAATCACTTTCTGGCAGAGGATCACTTTTTGGCACAACACCTGGAGATAAGGGGGCAAAACAATCGCATTAATGCTGCTGTTTGGTTGAGGCAGAATAAAGTAGTCGTGGTAAGACAATCACACGACCACTTTAAGATGACAAAGCAACAAGGTGATATATACCATGTAAAACCAGAGTCATAATAAACAATATATACACAGACATATATACACACATATATAGTTTCGTCACGTTTACTGTCTAAGGAGAGCGTTAGAAAGCACTCTCTGCTTATGACCAAAAAATAAAAAAACAAAACAAAAAACAGCCCGTTTGTGTTGGTGGAAAAATGCACCATGTCGACCAATCAAAAAATGATATGGCAACATGACATTTGGTTGTTTAGGAAGAGGGGGAAAGAGAGAGAGAGAGCGAGTTTTAAAATGTGAGAGATTTGTGACGTTTAGCGTGTTTGGAGTGTGTAGTTAATGTGTTGTCTTGTGTATCTCCAAAAGTTGATTTTGTTCATCTGGACGTAGCGTTTTCAGTGGGAGAAACTTTTCGTCACTCATCCAAGTGACGTCTTCAGTCTCAGCTGACTGCAGGCTTCTTATTCTGAATTCTGCAAATTCTCATGAGCATTGCATAATTATGATGAAGGGACTGACCTCCCAGCCCTTTGTTCCTTCAGTGGGCTGGTTTCAGTAATTAAGCAAGGGTATTGTTTATAAGGTTGGGGAAACCTGCAGTCAGCTGAGACTGAAGAAGTCACTCGGATGAGTGACGAAACACTTCTCACACTGAAAACGCTACGTTCAGATGAACAGAATCAACTTTTGGAGATTTACTTACCTGGATGATTGAGCATGCATCAAGACGTTGTGTTGTGTAGTTAGTGTGTAGTGTTGTGGATAGTTTTGTGTTGAGTGTCAGAACAATGAGGCGACTGCCGTCTCCAGGTAGAAAACAGGAGGAGTGATACACCTCTCCTGCTGTCAGACCTGCAGGTATCAGGCTGAGATGTTCTCCTTTATAGTGGACAGAAATTATTTTTTTGGAGCGGCACAAATAATTTGTGCGGCATTTTATTGAATGCAGAACAGCTGATTGTTCTGTAAATAGTTTGAAATGGTTTGAAAAAAAGGGTAAAAGGAAAATGGCTGCAAATAACTTTGTTGTTTGCAAAACTTGTGCATATGATTTTAAAACTGACAATTTATATTTGCATTTAAAGTTATAAAATATGATTCAATAAACATGTTTGTGGTTATTACAGTAAAAATATAACTTTTTCTACTTGGATTTTATGTTTTTTTCTCTGAATTTAGATCAATTGTGTTAATACAGTATGTCAAAATGAAAACATGACTGTAAATTCAGACACGTGAGATTGTGCTGAAAAGAATGATACCAAACAAGGCAAAGTAAATAGTTTTAAAAGGTAAAATGTAGAGGTAAAAATGGCCAATTATACCCTGGACCCTAGAGAGTGAAACTTTTTTTAAAGTAATGCAATAATTACTTTTCGAGTAATTAATAACTTTTAGAATCTTGTGACTCAGTTACTAACTCAGTTACTTTTTTGAAGAATTAACTAGTAACTATAATTAATTACTTTTTCAAAGTAACTTGCCCAACACTGGTGATCTGAACGTAATTATTTTTATACCAGCTCTGATATAATACATAATATATTGCTCTAATTACTTTTTTTCTAACACTGATCTAAATAGGAATGATCTAACCTTAGAAAACTTAATTATATAATTTCATTTTTATTTACAGTAATTGAACTATCTGTTGGTCCGTTATTTCGTATAGACTTACTATATGATTATATAAATGTTTACTATTCGGTCTCCTTTCTGACATGAACACTGTACTGCATATCCAGTTGGACTTTTATCCTTTAATGTGTTTCCACGTCTCAGATTATTCTGCTGACCAGACACTGGACCAAGTTCAACATAGCAGCTGTAATTGTCTCCGTGGGGCTGTTCTTCATCTGTACCAGGATCACCCACAACCGCTTCCTTTTTGAGCAATCACCCAAGGAATATATATTTCTTGGTATTCAGCACAGGCCTATTATTATTTGTTTGTCACTCTTGTGAGATTTTGCTTTAAGATGTCACATAACATCCCATTGTTGGACTAAAAATCAAAAAAGAAAACATGCAATAACAAGGAGCTGATTTCAATTTGTCTTTAGAAAATTGTGGCTCTTTATCCATTTCTGTCTAAAGATATAGTTGCTCTATGTTTGTCCTTTTATCAGGTGCGTCTGATTACGCCTTCACTGATCCAGTTGTGTGGCTCACAGCTCTGCTTGTTGCCTGGACAGCTGTTTTGCCCTCAGTGACTGCTCACGCCCTCAGTGTCATCCTCAACGCCCACGACAAACACAAGGTGATCTTTTTGTGTATGGGAGAGTATGAACGGAAGATCTACTTGTGTATCTTTTTGAAAAGGAATACTTCTCAAAAGGAAAAGCTAAAAATGTAAATTGTATGTCCGTTTAGGTTTCGAGTCACTGAATGTCATTCTCCATATCTCACAGTTTGCTCAGTTTATGCCATCTCTCTGTCAAAAGAGAGGTGTAAAAAGGGCCATAAAAACTGAGAAAAACTGTAGACTCATAAACTGCAGCTCTTGACAGGAAACACACAGAAACTTTGTCCTCACAGTCAACAATCACAGCACATACCACGCCAAACAACCTGCAGCAGCTCGTAAAAACTCCGCCAATCTCAAGTTATTCTTTCTCTATTATTATCTGATCGTTTTCTAGTCGTGTGCTGCAGTTTATTGTGAGCTTATTTTCAAAGAACCGGCAGACTCAGATGCAGTACACTAGACCAGAGAGCGAAGTTCAAAGAATTACTGAATAATGCAGCAGTTGCAGCGATGATCAGAAAATCATCAGAGATGGGATTCAACAAAGGCTGCATGGAGCACGAGGGGATCCTCAGACCACAGAGGTTGACAGAGAGTCTGTTGAGAAGTGGGTTGGCAAAGGGGTTGTGAGTACAGCATGCTGATTAGCCGATGCACCCAAGGTGTGCCGCCTGAGGAAAAAGACAGGAACCGGACAACACAGAGATACAGATACACCTTACCTACAGGTGCTGTGCTGGTGCCCAAGTCCAAAGCAGAGGTGAGAGAGCGTGAGAGACAGAGGAGGGAAAAGAGGACCAGAGAAAAGGAGCTTTAATAAGAAGACACTGGAGACAGAAAGGAGATCATGCTTGCAGTTGTAGCTGCTGCTGACATGCCCAGCCATCATCTCCGGTTCAGTTTACTGAGTTTCTTGTTACTCTTGGGTTAAAAGAGACAAAAAACACCCCCAAAAACCTTATATAAAGTAAACAGTCGCTGATATGTTTCTCCCCTTCTGTGACCCAGGTCCACAGTGTATCCCATCAGTCAGTGGAACTGAGGTCTCGTTTCAGAAGGGGGACGCCTCTCCGCCGTTCCTCTTATGCTGTCTCTCAGGGAGCTGGGTCCGGACGCCACATCACCTCAGCGACACACATGAGAAAGTGACTGCAAGTCATAACTGCGCTGTCTCAAAGGCGAAAAGTGACTGACTGTGTGAAACATGCGTAATGGAGAGCTGCATTAAAAGTTTTTGTAACAGATAACATCTATCGTCTGCTCCTGCAGCAAACTTTTCTGTGTCTTTCAGTGTTTTGCGTATGGTTCTGTGGGCAGTTCTGTTACACTATTGTACAGATACTATTTCGAAATAAAGTTAATGATATAATGTACAAAATATATTATGCATCATAAATCTTGTTTATTATCTTCGCATTGGCACTTTGGATCTGTTCAAACAGAGGTAAAAATCAAATCTCCATCTGCTGAGGTTACAGCGGATTTCCTTTGAGGATCGAACCAAACACAATAAACTGACAGCATAGCCTTGTTTTACAATTGTTTTATTTGTTAATTTATTTCAAAACACGCAATTTACCCATATTATCCTTTTAAGTTTTTATTTTTCTGTAACAGTTATTACTCAGATTATTCTCCTTCTCAAAAGTCTCAACTAGAATGAAACTAAAAGTCCTCCACAGGCTCTCCGGCTTCTGCAGTGGGAGGAGGGGAAAAAAGGCTTTCTGAATAGACGTGAGTGGGTTTTTCCCTCGTTTCTGTGGGTGCGGAGATGTGTGACGGGTTTACGCTGGGGTATGTGCATGTACACGTGTGTTCGTGTGTGTGTTTAAGTGCAATAAGTGGAATGTCCACACGGCCGGGAAATCACAGGACCCGTAGAGCTGAACATTGTCTTCTAGGTTTGGCAGCCAGATTGTCATACCTCTGATTTCATCTTTGGTTTCAGCAAACACTCTCAAAAGGCAGACTCACCCTCTCCAGCATGTGCCTGTGTCTGTTTGTGTGTGTGTCTGTCTGTCCGAGTGCAATATAAGCCACCATCTCCAGACAACTTTGTAAACTTAAGTAGGTACAATGAAAGTGTCTTTGCATTGATTGTGGCCCTTCCTTGGCGCTGGGGACAAAGACAGTCGAACATTGTAGAACGATGGAGCCATGAGTGTGGTGGATCGGCTTGCAAACATCAGCATGGACTCCATTTTGATGTCAGTGGCAGTTTGGGGCGTTCGTGTAAAGTTAAGTGATCTCAGTGTGGTGAAACATGGGATGCTGTAGTGCTCTTGTGTCCCCAGCCACTCTCACCATAACCTGAGTGACTGGGGTTACTCCGCCCACACTGGGCTCATGGGATTGGTTAATTGGCCGAGTAAATGGCTGTGAAGGTCGAAATGAGTGGGAGCGTTTAAATGTCGCGGATGGATGGGAGAGGGGGTTGAGGGTTACACTCTGACCCAGCAGCAACAATTAGGATTGGGGGGGTCAGGTGTTTGCATAGTTCTCTGTGCAAAAGCCACCAACCGGAGCCATTTTTTAATTCCTCGCGGCTGGTTACATCGTCATTACATTAGCAGGACATTGTGGTGGGTGATGGGAAACATGGTCTTTGCACCACAGCTCTTTTTTGCACTGCTGCGTCGGACTACAATGGTGGCGGGGAACTGGTCATGCGATCGTCGGTTCGAGGGGTTTGAGCTGTGAGATCTGGTCGAGATGGGACGAAGGATGAACGAGTGAGTGGGGCAGTCGTTTGGCAGTCGGGCACTACAGCATGTCACGATTCAGAGAGCCTCTTTTCCGCGTGATTTTGTTCTTCCGTCCTTCCCTTCCTCTGGCCTGCCCTCTCTCTACCTTTTTTCTTGTTTTGAAACTGATTGTCTTCTACCATCACAAAGACACTTGGTTCTGATTGATTAACAGGTAACAGAAGAGGGAGAGCACAGTGTGACTGGGGGTGTCTACATCAGTCCCACCGGCAACCTATTCAATCCCACAGAGAAATGACACGAATATGCTGTTTGACAGTAGATGCGGACGACACTTCAGGCGGGATGATCGGTTGCCACATGGTACTGCGGTTGGTCGGTCAGTAAGAAATGGTTTCAGATTTTTGCATGACAAATATTGCAACCCATAGCAAAGGAACAGAAAATAGAAATAGTCTTCCACATAGGTAGAAATGAACACATATACATTGTACACAGACCGAAGGAAAGCATGTAGACAGACGTACAGGTATCGGAAGGCCGCTCAGGTCTGAGTGTGTCCCTGTGATTAACTCCAAGTAAACAGCCCGTCTTTGGAAAAGCAAGACACACGTTTCAGGACCCGAGTGAGGACCGCAAGCTGAGGAATGAAGATTGAATGCGATTGATTGGGAGGAGAGGAGTTTGACCTCCCCCAGCACACACTGCCCCCTACTGTTTGGATTTATATACATCAAAGAAACATTGGGGAAAGGGGAAGGGTTGCAACAACACATGCACACAACCAGTGAATCCAACAGTGACAGAAATTCTAAAACAAAGACCCCTCCAACGCCTAAAACCCAAATCCTCCCACCCTGTTTTGTTTATTTTTGATAACCAAACTATTACCCCCACCCTTCTCCCCCCACACCCAAGTCTTTCCATCCTCCTCCTCTCCCCACAAAATCACAGGTCATTCCTGTTGGTTTCTATACAGTTATACAATATCCATGCACAAAAGAAAAAAAAGTGCACCTTCTTTTCAACAGGAGGTGCTGGTCTTTAATATTCTAAGAACATCAGGAGCACTTGAACACACCCAGGAACCTTCAGAAGTAACTGTGAAACTGTTTTTTTTTTCTTTTTGTTTTTTCAGAGAAAAGACAACTGAAAGGCAGAAGAAAGCTAACAATGGATATAAGGTTATTCCTCCTTTGGTTTAACATCAAATTTTTGGTTTATAATTCAACCCAAATCACATTTTTGTCATTTTTTTCTTTCTCTCTTTCTTTCTTTCTTTTTGTTGTTTCTTTGAATGTAGGCGTCTGTGAGAGAGCTTTGAACTAATCATCTGAAGCGAGCAGCTCTCGCTCGTCTCCCTCTATTCTCGCCTTCTCTTCTGTCTCTCCTTTTTCTCGCGTGACCCTCCACAGAAACATTCACAATGTCTTTTCCTTTATGAAAACAGTAAGTACATGCCGTAGCAAAAAACAAACGAGAGAACGTACGAGAAAAATAAGCAAACGAATAAAAGGAATTTAACAGTATAAAGCTTCAAGTCACAAGTTCCAAAACTAACTATCATAGTATCATACTTTCATAATCATTGTTATCATTAGCAGTATTATTTTCAGTTTAAATTACATAAAGTTTACATGAAAGGTTTTTGAGGTATTTCAGAATTAATTGTCAACACACGCCTACCAAGTCCTAGCACTAGCCAGGGGGAAAGTTGACTGGACAGACAAGGTGGAGGGAGGGAGGAGAGAGTGTGTGTCTATAAACTGTCAGCGAGTCTTCCACACTTTTCCAGTGCAGCCTCTGTGCTTGCACGCAGTGGGGAGAAAGAAAGCCATTTGGCATTTAAGATTTTATAACAACAGCCCTCTGGGTGCTTACAGCCGCCGCCTCTTTACCCTTCTCTTTCTCTGTTACACAAAAATATCTCTGATGTGAGGAAGGTAAAGCGGCCGAGAGCGTAAGCAGGCCGGGCGGAAAGCAAAAGAGAAACACGAAGGCTGAGAGCTAGCAGAAGATCGACGATACGGCAACGAAGACTCCGACAGATTAAGGAGTAACATATAATTTTGTTTCAAATAAATAGCGTATAGAAAATGTTTTATAGACTTTCTACATGATAAAGTGCTTGTATTCTAGTGTATCAAGATGGAAGGTCAATATGGGAGAAAATGCTGACACAGCCCCCACTCTGTGTCCCTCTCTTTGGCCCCCCTTTCTGTCCATCCAATTATGGGTGCATTGTCTGTGTGAGCACACGCTTGTAAGTGGGTATGCCGCTATATGCATGCATCTGTGTGTGTGTGTGTTGGTGTGTGGGTGTGTGTCCAGTGCAGTCCCACCCGTGGTTGAAGGGAAAAGGCACTCAACTCTGTCTGCAAGGCAGCCACCTCCTCCTATGTGGCACAATGCAGTCTGACTGCGCTGTTAGTAGGAACATGTGTGTGTGTGTGCGTGTGTGCGTGCGTAATATCATCAGTGTGTTTGTAACAGTTTGGGGCAAAGAGGGGGGGCTCTCGTTTTTTTGGTTTGTGTCCCCCTAGGCAGTTTGTGACTGGTAGGCTGCAGTATCTTTGGTATTAGTGGCGGTTTCACAAACCACTCAGCTTAGTGAGGTAGCCACATTGGTTCTCACTACTACAAACGTCATTTTGTCAGTGTCATTCCTAAAGCTGAATCTAGCTATTTATCTATGCTCACTGAACTGTATACCACAAGTCAATTTAAGCTCATCATCCTTTGGCGACGTTAACTCACTGCTTACAGCAATGTGAAGTTAGTCAGTACCTCCTGATCAGCTCCTCTACAATGACCACCTCTTATCTAATCTGCACTGCTAATCTGACTACATTGTTGGAAATGCTACAGTTGCATCTTAAGACCACACAGATAACTACGGAGTCCCAAGCGTAAACACCCCGCGCCACCACCACCACCACCCCACCCTCCAATAAAACATAGCGAGTCAGCCAGGACATTTGGAGGTCATGTTTTGTCCCTCTTAATTTTAACCCATCCTCAGGGCTCAGCTTTAAAGGGGCGGGGGGGCTGAGAGTACCACAGTTCCGACACGAAATGCCAAAGGAGAGAAAGTGTCTGTCATTTATTCTTCTCTTCAGCAGCTCCCTGTTTCTCTTGTCTTTTCTCTTTCTTGTGGTAAATGTCCTGCAGGTCTATATTCACACAGAATGCAAAAAAGAAAAAGAAACAAAACCACGTCCTTCGTTGGCCTCAGTCCTTGCATCCTTCTTTTTTCCCTTTTAAAAAGTCCTTCCTTTTTTTGTTTCTGATTTATCAACAAGGTGCCATACTTATGCACAACAGAGCACAATAGTAACAAGAAATAGAAACTTTGTGTCTATGGTACTAATTAAATACCCGCATCAATATAGAGAGGAAGGGGGCGAGGGGTTGGAGGGGGAAATGGGGTTAGAGGGACAGAGGAGGTAGAGAACCAAAGATAGAATGAGAGATTTTCTTCTGCTTCAAAATGTGTCCAGTTATGCGTTGGAAACATTTTGTGTTGCACTGTATGTTTGGTGTCTTTCTCATTTGAGGTTTGGTTATTGTTTGCCTTTAAAATCAGATTCTTGTTTTTTTCTTTTCTTTTACTAAAAAAGTATAATTTCATTCAGTTAAAAGCTGATTGTTGGGCGCTATGGCACACACCGCCCA